TTAAGTCGAGGATTGTCATATTTTATTCATAGGCAGCAGGTAATGTTAACTGTTTTATTGGGACACCGCAGCTCAGTCACCCTCTCATCTGTATGCCAGGTGGAGAAGTTGAGTTGAACGCCTGTGTCCCACTTCTCGAGAGGAATTTCACCATCTGCATCCCATTTCTTCAACATACTCCTAAATCATCTTACGTCACTATATTGTAATTACTCAGATGTTAGTCTTTTATTATAATTATTATTAGCCGTTAATGATCTGTTTTCGAGGGTAGGTGATGTGAGAATCGCTAAAATAGAAATCGACTAAAACATTCCCAACCGATCATACTGTAAATGGCTCGGTGTCAGCTAAGTGAATCTGACTGTACGTGGTTATGTTGATGAAGATATGCCTCTAACAGTAAATACAAGGTAACCGTCAGTTGTAAGTGGGCCTGTAGGTTGACTAATTTGTGGTGAAGTGTTTGGTGTTGGCGGGTGAGTGTGCGCTTCCCGGGTGTCCTCAATGTGGATCACTGCCTATGACGTCACTCTAGTAAACATAGCTTATTTTTCTCGGCGGCGCTGTGACTTCTTCGTATTATTCTGTAGTAATATATTATTTCAATGATTTGTTTCATCGTAAAAAAAATATCTACCAAGGATAGACAGAGTTTTGTTTTTGAGAATTTAAACGTGATGGTTGGGTGTGGCACATATTTTGTAGCAACTTAAGAGTTACTCATACGGAAAATAAATGTGTGTGTGTGTGTGTGTGTGTGTGTGTGTGTGTGTGTGTGTGTGTGTGTGTGTACGCCAGATGTGAACCAGTTTCCCTCCACTGTGGCCTCCTCTTTTGCTGCAGATGTGGCCGTGAAATTTGTGTGAAATATGAATAAGAGAAAAATGTGTTAAAATAGGTAATTAATACACATGTTAACATATATTTAACACGAGATCATGTTGACAGGTACTTAACATATTAACAGGAACTTAATACACGACATGGTAGCTTATTTTAAACACATGTTAACAGTTATTTAGCACATGTTAAGTGTGTTGGCAACATCGTCTACAGAATAACTTACATTGTTTATAGTGGGACACACGTTTCATGCCCCAGTCTTCACCTGGTGCTGGTATAAATGGCTAATATTTCAAGTTTCCAAGTTTATATCTCTGAACTCCTCTCTCGCTCCTGCTTGGGTTAGTGTTTAAACCAAAGGGAGGAGGAAGAAGGGGAGTGGGGAGGCAGTAAGGGCGTGTGGTGTGAGCCAAGACAAATGGAACCATCCACACATACTCCTGTGGTCAAACGTATTGTACGGTGCCGTATACAGGGTGAATCTTTAACGTCCACACTAAATCACAGCACTTAATATTAGTTCACTGAACATATATACTACAGTATACAGTACTAGTGATGGATGTCACATCTGCAAAATTTTCACATCCGCATCTTGAAAATGCGGGTGTTGCGGATTTGTAGAGCTTGGGATCTTTTAATATTAATATAAATATTTATATAATATATAAATATTTTATCACACACACACACACACACACACACACACACACACACACACACACCTAGATAACAACACCGTGGGCCACAAGGCTACTGGGCCAGATTTCAACATCTATAATCTATTAATGTCTTCCCGTCCCGTCTATATCTGACTGGTGGAGAGGAGGTAGAGGGTGCTGGGGGTGAGGGATCAACAGGATGAAAGTAATATGCGCATCTTATCACTTGCGCAACTCTCTCTCTCTCCCTCTCTCTCTCTCTCTCCCATGTCTGATAGTTTTCCACTTTCTCCCTGAAAGAAATGGACTTTCACTATTCCCATGAAGAGGTTACATTCAATGGAGTGCTGGGACCGCCTCGCCCGAACCGTTTGTTGAATTTTGATTGAATCACCGAACTTTTTATTTATTTTTAACTATTTAGCAGACAATGAAAATTTATCTTGAAATGGTGCAAAAAATACTTTATTTTCCATGCTTATATATTTGTAATGATTAAAATCTAGCAGCTTATTTGGTTTAACTAACTTGCCTTGAACAGTAGTCGAACTGATCGTGTCATTGACATGTAGTGAACTTGTACTGATTTGTTGAGCTCTTCAGTATTTATTTCATGTGAATATATGTTTTAAGAAAATACTGTACCCTAGTTTTGTTTAATAAAAAATGGTTTACTCTCAGGTCATGTAATTACGTCATTAGTGAGTATAAAGGATATGTGGGATAATTTTTGTCAGAATGTTACAAAATGTTCTTCGAAAAGGCTAAAATGCGTTGGCTTCCATGGCTCCGCCTGGGATCCCGCTGGGGGAGTTTCTGCTCACCCCAGTCCCCCTAGCGTAATGGTTCTCACTGTTGTCGTTTGTCGATTTACACCACTTGAATTTCGCCTTAATCAGATCCGGCTGTTAAGAAATTGCCAGCACACCCTTGGTTATATCCCACTTGGATGATTCCCAAATACAGGAGTCCCAAATATACATTATTCAAGAATATAAACGGGATTAGCAAACCAGGACACAGGTCAATGACCCACATCAAGGCCTGGGGGCGAAATAATAATAATAATAATAATAATAATAATAATAATAATAATAATAAATTAACAAAAGAATATAAAAAATATATTAAATAAAAATACAATATAATAAGATAATGCAACAAGAATGATAATAATAATATTACTACTACTACTACTAATAATAATAACAATAACAATAATAATAATTAAATACAAAGTAAGAGAAACAATTGAATCCCTGCAATTGTCTGTAAATGAGGCAGAAAGTCAGATCAGCAGCCTGGGACTTGGTCACAATTTTTGTGATGCCATATGGCAGCAGAGTCTACCATTAGACAACACATTATGCTTCCAATATCTTCCCAGGCGGTAGTATCTCCCTGTTTGGTAGCTGACTACTACTTACTGGTTTTATATATATTTATATATAATGAAAAGTTGGTATTATGTGGTAAGTGAGTTATTACACGCTGTAAAAACTGTACCGGTACTGTAGAAGTTGTGCTTGATAGCGCTGACAACAACTCTCATCTTGATTAGTTCTGGTGTATAATCAAAACCAACACCGTCTGAACAAAAGCAACCCTAATCTCACATATCATTCTTTATTTGTTTACAAACGTCGACTTGGACCAACACAAACCTCAGACACACTCCATCATCTTCATCAACACGAGTGTGGCCGAGCGCCGTCTATTACTGGAGCAGATAACTTGCTGCAACGCCTTGAAATCTCTCTCGTACGGCTCCGGTGACCATCCATGACCACGCCCAGTCAACCATACGCCATTGTTGTTTTTTCCTCATTCTCGCAGTCTCTCTGACACCGTGAACCCTGTCGGTGTCTCTATTACCAGGTTCTGTTTCTTTTTTTTTTTTACTTACAATTTCCTTCTTAACCAGAATTGGATATTTGGATTTTTTATGGTTATGAATGTCTCTTGTACGGGCAAAAAATTACTTATTAAAAATAGGGGAGTTGTAATACTGGTTATAATTATTTGAGGGACAGTCCAGAGAAAATTGTTTAAATTATGATAAATAACAAAAGGTCATTAGATGTTTTATATACCTGTACAGTATATGCTTTGAGAGACCATATTGACCTAGGCAGCACCTGTGTAATCTCTTACCAATTGCCGTTAACACTGGGTAATGAACGGCGAATTGCAGAGTAAACGTAATGCATGAAATTGTACTTTACAGACACATTGAGAATATATCATAATGATAATGACACCTATCATAGAATGGTCCATCATCTCTTTATATTTAAAAATAACATGAGGATTGTCGCGTAAAGTAATGGGAAGGCTTTGTGGGTGAATGGAACAGGCGCCCACATAATATGGTTAGTGAAAACACATTAAACAATTAAAACAAATATATAAGCTAATAACGGAAAATAAAATATGGATTTAAATTACACAGGAGCTGCCCAGTGTGTGCCAAGAGGTGTTTTGCAGTCTCTTGGTGTGTTCTAAAGCATCTGGTCTAGCAGTATGTTTCTAATTTAGGTAGAATTATAATTATATTTCCTTCCTTGATTTTACAGCGACGGGGAAACGAACAGAGGTGGCGGGGAACCGGTCAGCCTGGCAGCTGGTGACGGGAATCGACCACTGGTGACGGCAAAACTACTTGACGGAGAAACGTCTAGCAACCTGTCCAAGTAGGTCACACTCACACCTGTACCTGATGGGTCACACACACACCTGTACCTGATGGGTCACACTCACACCTGTACCTGATGGGTCACACTCACACCTGTACCTGATGGGTCACACACACCTGTACCCGATGGGTCACACTCACACCTGTACCTGATGGGCCACACTGAAAGTTTTATGGACTTGTGGCAATTATTAACATCTACAAGAGACAAATGACAGCGACAATGAAAAAAGTGGAAGAGATAAATGATGGAAAAAAATATCGGTAAATAAGGAAGGAAGAGCGAAGAAAAAATGAAACTAATTTGAAACAGAATGAAATGTTAAAGTCAATGAAAATAGACTTGTTGAATAATGACGAAACATTAAAAAAAATTAGTGTGAGAGTAAAAAGAAACAGTGTTAGTATAGAGGCTGCATGAGTGTGTTGGTGAGGTGGTGTGTCAACTTATACTGAAAGGAAGGTCACACAAACAATCAAATTGCCTCATTCACCTCCTGGGATACGAGTATTTTCCATTTATTGCTCTATAATTATTTATCCCGTTATTATTGTTATCTCTCTCTCTCTCTCTCTCTCTCTCTGTGAGTTAGTAGTGAGTATTTGTGTTGACTATAAAGAGCTACGCATTGAGTTTTAGTTTGGTGACTTGGCGGGTTTCAGTATTTGTTCAACCGTAGAATATTCAGCACACAAAATCCTCGCGGTAAATTGAGTGGGTGACTTACCCCTTACTTCATTGGGCGTAAGAATCATTCAGTGAAGCAGTAAGTACGTGATGCGTGAAGTGGTCTTACCTGGGTGTTTATCGTCTAGAGGTGCGGGAGAGCCTGGAGGTGATGGTGCCGGAGGCTGAGAGTCGGTCTGAGTGTGGGGGGCGGTACACTCCGGGCCGAGGGTCAACCCTCTCCAGCTCGTCCCCACTAAGATCCAGGTCTGCCACCATCTGTAGAATCTCTCGGTCCTTCTTGCTCATAGAGTCTTCGCCAATACCCGCCAGCGACCCGTAAGAGCGTGATCGGTGCTCTTCTCGGATGCTGTATGAGAAGGCCCTCTCGTTGAGATGGCCTTTTCTGCCATATATATCTTCGTCTGACTCCTTTTTGTTGCCACTTTTCTTCTTCTTCTTATGCTTGGGCCGGCCAGTAGTGGCGTACTGTTCCATGAGGTACTGCTCATGAGGGAAGTGTCCCGGCTGGTAGGACGCTGTGGGGCTCAGGGGTCGGGTAGACGGCATGTAGATGGGCTCCTCAAGTACCCTTGATGGAGGCCGACGGCCCGGAGGGCCATAGGGGCCTGGATGTGGTCCCGGAGGCCCATGTGGTCCCATGGGTCCAGGAGGGGGTAGCATAACGTGTGGAGGCCCTGGTGGGGGCAGCATGTGTGGCGGTGGTGGACCCTGTAGTGGTACCATATGTGGTGGAGGCATGGGTCCCATATGAGGCCCGTGGGGGCCTGGGGGTCCATGTGGACCCGGTGGCCCATGTGAGCCTGGGTGTCCATGTGGGCCAAGGGGCCCATGTGGGCCTGGAGGTCCATGTGAACCTGGGTGACCATGTGGACCAGGGGGCCCATGTGGTACAGAGTGACCGTGGGGGGGAGGTGGACCATGGTGGCTATGAGGACCCGGGGGCCCTTGCACCATTATGAAGGGTGGGGGGCCACGCATGCCCTTACTCTTTCTCTCAACCAAACTGCTGCTGCCAAGAATTCGTAACTTTCCCTTCCCCTTAGTTGGTGAGGAGTGGCCATTCATGTGGCGAGGGAGACTACCGTTATGGTGCCTCATACCGCCGTTAACTACACTAGCGGGGCGAGGAGGTCCACCGTTGGTCAGTCTACTCATCTCGTCCTCCTCACGGCGAGCCTTATTTCTGGCATCTTTTTTTCCTTTTTTATCTTTTTCGATGATGTCGAGTGGAGGGGGCGGGGCGACTGAGGGCATAATCATCTGCCGGGGGCGTGAGGGGCGAGTCCCGCCAGTAGTTCCGTAAAGCGATGATGTAGACCTCGCTGACCGTAGCGTCCCCGAGGAGTAGTCGGAATAGATAAGTTCTGGGTCTCCTTTAGGTGCTCCTGCCCATACCTTGTGGTTTTCGTCGCCATTATATATTGACATTTCGTCTCCCGGTGAGCCATGGGAGGAGGGCGAGGCGGGTGCGTCCTGAGTTGGTGAAGAACCAAGTGACGCAGGGATTATTTCAGACGCTGCACTGCTGAAGTCTTCTATTTCAATGGCGCGCTCCTCTGTTGCACGGCCGCCGTACACGGAGCCGCACTGACTGTTACCGCCGCCCTCAAGACTACGGGCGTACATGGAATCAGCATATGCATGGAAACAACACCTCACCAGGGCATTTGCTGGGGTCTCACGTTTACATATGAAGGCGTGACACTCGAGAACCTTGATGCCGGTGATGCGACGCATGATGCAGGCGAACAGCGGCGGGTGGTTGATGTTGGGGTTCCTGGCGAAGGGCGAGTCCAATGGCAGAAATCTTGGCACTGTAGCGCCCTCGCCCCCCGAGACCACCACGTACCTGACAGCGGCGCAGTAGTGAAGTGATTCAATGGGGAAGAAACGTGTCACCTTTTTCTGATTTTCGTCCACATTTTCCAGTAGTAAACCATTGGACCACACTGAGAGCCAGGAGTCTATACCCCGTGCACTGACCGCACCTTCTGCAGGATATAGCTCCCTGAGTGGCTCCTGTATACCCTGCAGGCCATCCTTGGTGACCTGAGGGACGGACGAGCCCAAATACAACACTCGGCAGCGGCAGATAGGTGTTGCGTCCGCACCTCCTCGCCTGGCCATCTTCATGATTTCAACTTACAAGAAACGTCACTTTACCTTAAAGAAATCCACGCCACTATTGGCCTTTTTATATTTATTGTGAAGCACTACGACGCACAAGAGGCTACAGCCCTGCTTCTTCTACGCTTGTTCATACTGCGTAAGTCACACACACACTGGGTGAGAACGCTCCCCAGCTTTACCTCGCTCTGGGTGCGACGACAACACTGCACAGGTGAGGTGAGTGGGGGAGCACACACCTAGGCTCAGGTATGTGGGGCCGCACTGCGCATGCCTGGCCAGCCGGCGGCTCCCGCAACACATCACCAGCCAATCCTGGAGCGACTTCAGAAACTGGGTTACGCCGTCTCTCAAGATCATCTGACTTCTTAAGTTCTCTCAAGCTCACCTCCTCCAGGTGTTTCGCTTCATTTCTGCTTGACTCAATTTGTAAACTTCATTAAAGAAGAAACACAAGAAGGCATCAATGTGAGCGTTGAGAGGATGGGTGGGTGACTGTGACCACCGAGGAAAGTGTGGCTGGTGTCGAGATGTACTGTACCGCCTTAACACAACACACACCTCACCCCTCACACCTCACTCCTCACACCTACCTACCTTACAACTCTACAACTGTTATTGTTTGTACATTTATTTATCTCTGGTAAACCATCAGCATTAGATTATTAAGTGAACTATTTTCCTGCAGCAACTGTCTTTCATTGTAATTATGGCAATGGCGGGGAAGACGGTATCCGGGGTCGAGTGCACGCGCTCAGACACAGACCCACAAACACACACGCGTTCACACACACACGCGCGCTCGCATGTGTGTGTGTGTGTGTGTGTGTGTGTGTGTGTGTGTGTGTGTGTGTGTGTTTCCCCTGAATTCCCTGTCCCCAGGGCTCCCGATATCCGGGACGGGTGGGCATGTCACCACCACCCGCGACTTGTCTTGCCCACATATTAGTTATTACGCCCACACACTACTTGTCAGCCTAGTACCACAACATCCAGAAAGTACCACAACACCCAGCAAGTACCACAACACCCAACCAGTACCACAACACCCAGCCAGTACCACAACACCCAGCCAGTACCACAACACCCGGCAGATACCACAACACCCAACCAGTACCACAACACCCAGCCAGTACCACAACACCCAACCAGTACCACAACACCCAGCCAGTACCACAACACCCGGCAAGTACCACAACACCAAGCAAGTACCACAACACCCGGCAGGTACCACAACACCCGGCAGGTACCACAACACCAGTGATATACAGTAAATATAAGTTTTTGAATTATAAGGTTAATTAAATAATGTTGTAGCTACCTGTAATTGTCCTGACAGCTGTGTTGACCCGACGTTCTTGTTGAGTCTGGGTGTGACGTCATCGATATTATGATAACAATAAGAACATAAGAAAATAAGGAGTCTGCAATAGGCCGTTTGACCTGTGCATGGCAGCTCCTGTCGAGAGTTACTACCACTCTCTATCATCCATGAATCTATCTAGCCTCCTTTTAAAACTTTCCAGCGTTCCAGCACTTACTACAAAGTTGCTAAGCTTGTTCCACTCGTCCACCACCCTATTTGTGAACCAGTTCCTTCCTATCTCCCTCCTAACCTAAACTTATCCAACTTAAATCGTTGCTACGAGTCCTATCCTGCTCGGATATTATGAGAACTTTATCTCAGTGACCTCAGTGTTAATAGCCGTGTGGTACAATAGTGACCTCAGTGCTAATAGCCGTGTGGTACAATAGTGACCTCAGTGGTAATAGCCGTGTGGTACAATAGTGACGAGGTGAACATTTCTTCATTATCAAATATTGAAATAACTTAGACTATTGGGCTGTCGGCTTCTTTCCACTGGTGACCAAGATAATGTCACGTGATCGCCTCATGTGTCTGACTGCGTGAGTTGCTTCTTCTGGCACTACACTAGACAGCAGAGACTGACATAAACTTCACCTACTCTTTCAACTTAGATGTTTTGGCTCCTTGTCGTGTGATAGCGCTTTGTTATATATTTTTTTTATCTTAATTTAACATTGAAAACGGAATATTTTTTTCAGTATTATATATTTTTCTTATTATATACTGTTGAAACGTTGTCGTGGTGTTAAGTAAAGCTCGTCAAGTTATTATATTCTGTCCCGAGGATGTGATAAATTACGAGGATTCTTAACAGTTTACCTTTGTGTAGTTGAGATGATTCATACCTTCACTAACTTATCCCTGACTCAAATACTCAGATAAGTCCATAAATACTGTGTACATTTAAGTTACGGTAATTATTAATCCCCCTTTAAACAGCTGAATTCCTGGTTAAATAACTTGACTTACTCGTTGGGAAGCATTGATAGGACCTCATAACACACACACACACACACCACCACCTGCCGTATGACCTTTCTGTAGGATTCAATGACGTCAGTATAATTATTCATCTTGGGACTTCTTCTAAGTTTAATGCCTGTTATTATACTCCTTAAGGGTGTGGGGTGATTCTTCCTCTCCACACACACACACACACACACACACACACACACACACACACACACACACACACACGCGCGGGACCGTTTTCCATACATCCTCTGTCTTTCGCCCATCACCCTCCACCTTCACCCTCCACCTTCACCCATCACCCTCCACCTTCACCCATCACCTTCATCCTTCATCCTTTACCCTCCACCTTCATCCATCACCCTCCACCTTCATCCATCATCATCCACCTTTACACTTCACCCTCACCTTCACCCATCATCCTCCACCTTCATCCATCATCATCCACCTTCACCCATCATCATCCACCTTCATCCATCATCATCCACCTTTACACTTCACCCTTCACCCATCATCCTCCACCTTCATCCATCATCATCCACCTTCACCCATCATCATCCACCTTTACACTTCACCCTCACCTTCACCCATCATCCTCCACCTTCATCCATCATCCACCTTCACCCATCAGTCATCCACCTTCACCCATCATCATCCACCTTTACACTTCACCCCTCACCTTCACCCATCATCCTCCACCTTCATCCATCATCATCCACTTCCCCCCTTCACCCATCATCATTACACTTCACCTAACCTTCACCCATCACCTCCATCTTCATCCATCACCTCCACCTTCACCCATTACCTCCACCTTTACCCTTCACCCCCCACCTTCACCATCATCCTCCACCTTCATCCATCATCATCCACCTTACCCCCACCTTCACCCATCATCATCCACCTTCACCCATCATCATCCACCTTTACACTTCACCCTCACCTTCACCCATCATCCTCCACCTTCATCCAACATCATTCACCTTTACCCCCCACCTTCACCCATCATCATCCACCTTCACCCATCATCATCCCTTACACTTCACTTCACCTCACCTTCACCCATCACCCTCCACCTTCATCCATCACCCTACCTTCACCCATCACCCTCCACCTTCACCCTTCACCCCCACCTTCACCTCCACCTTTCCCCACCCATTCACCCTCCACCTTCACCCCCTCCACCTCACCCTCATCATCCATCCTTCACCCATCACCTCCACCTTCACCCATCACCCTCCACCTTCACCCATCACCCTCCACCTTCACCCTTCATCATCCATCCTTCACCCATCACCCCTCCACCTTCACCCTTCACCTCTACCTTCACCCATCACCTCCACCTTCACCCATCACCCTCCACCTTCACCCTTCACCCTCCACCTTTCACCCATCACCCTCCACCTTCACCCTCCATCATCCATCCTTCACCCATCACCCTCCATCCTTCACCATCTAGCCTGAGGTAATGCCTTTATCAGGTGTGTGACGTCAGTGGGTGAATGTTTGTTGAGTAAGCAGGAAGTCGGCGGCGGCTCACCCTCCCTGTTGACTCATCATCCTCACACACCTGTTCCACACCTGCATCACACCAGCCCCACACACCTGTTCCATACCTGCCTCACACCAGCCCCACACACCTGTTCCACACCTGCCTCACACCTTCCTCACACCAGCCCCACACACCTGTTCCATACCTGCCTCACACTTGTCTCTTATCTGCTACACACCTGTCCCACGCCAGCCCTACACCAGCCCCACACCTGTCCACACCTTCACAGATGTCCCACATATTTACACCTGTCCCATACTTGTCTCTCACCTATCCCATACTTGTCCCTCACCTATCCCACACCTGTCTCTCACCTATCCCATACCTGTCTCTCACCCTCTCCCATATCTCCCAGACATTGGTTCCCTACTTACTCCACCTATTGTTACCTACGACCTATCTACCATCTCTCCCACCTATGCCTCATTAAGCACAGGTGACTCGTTTATTAGGCAACCCCTTGTATATCGTGTAAGGTAACGTCTGTGTACAGTTACTAAAAAAAAAAAAAATATCTATACAAAATTGTGTTGAAAAAATATGACACAATGGATGAAGTATTTTGACAACCCTACCGAGACAAAAGGAATCGTAGTGTTCATTGTGAAATTCATCGATCACCCCGAGTACAGATAGTTTTTTTGGGGTGACTGTATTTCTACCGTGTTAAAGCCTAGTCAAAACACACTGTAATGGTGGTTATTCATCTCTGGCTATTGGCTCGTAATAGTGAAAATGTTATGTGGCTTGTCAGATATTTAAGATTAGTCCAGGGTTACACATCTGTCACACCTGTCCTATACTCGTGATGTTTTTTTTTTACACCTGTCCAACGACTGCACCAGACCTCTTTCCCACACATGCCTTATACCTCTTCCACCTATCCCTCATACTTCTTCTATTCTGTTCCATACTTGCCTTACACTTTCTCCACTCATACCATTTCACCTGCCTAACAACTGTCCCACACCTGCCCCACACCTGCTCAACACCTGTCCCACACCTGCCTAACAACTGTCCCACACCCACTCAACACCTGTCCCACACCTGCCTAACAACTGTCCAACACCTAACAACTGTCCAACAATCGTTCAAAATACATCAAAAACCATCTGAAAAACATAATTACAACCTAACCTAACCTAACCTAACCTAACCTATCTCGGACGGTGGTGCCTTAAAATCCAAATAATAAGACTCTGTTTATACATCTTGAAATACATGAAGAGTGTTGTATGCATTTGATCTGTAATATAGTTCACCACTCCTGTAGCCTAGTAAGCACCCGGGGCAAGAATCGTAGAGAAGTGTAACAAATTTTTGCCCCTTATGG